TCATTCTAACTATCCACATGATATCAGAATCTGGATTCATATAATGCTTAGGGAGTGGCGCATGGAAATTATGACCTTGCCAGTAAGTGTAGTCGCAGAAAGTGAAATATGGAAATTGTAGTTGAATGCCCTCCTGATATGCCTCTATGCACGTCTGCATGATCTCTGTGATCCTGCTGCGAGTTACCACGTTGTAATCTATAACATGAATATGGGGACCGATTAGAGCATGCCTCCAGATATTTCGTCGAATTTCCAATGGGAATTTCGGAAACAAAGTAAATGTTGTGCTGAATAGGGCTAGCTTGCGACCTAAGACTTCGTATTGTCTCTTTAGTTGAGTTAAATCAGCTTGACGATATCGCGCGGCCGACGTGAGTCTGCTATCGTCCTGATATGGTGGTTCCTGATATGGTATTCTATTGGCAGCCTCTTGCATTTCGGCGTGATTGCTTGTTGCTGGGCTTTGATCAATCAAACGCTCCATATTGGCAAAGTTGAAAGCCAAAAAGATGTGATCGTTCCCCAAAAGTGATGCAGTCCAACTCAGCTGGCTTGTTTCTCCCGATAAATTATTCGTTTGGGCAAATCCGTACAAGCTCTTCGAATAGGTTTGTATGTGGCGGAAATGTGAGTGTTGGTATCAACCTGGTGGGTTCAAAGTGTAAAGTACTTTAGACTATACTGGTGTATGTTGATAATGTTCTGCTTTATTATGCTATGATAAAGTGAACTCTTATATAGACGTCGCCAGGACGCTTGTCAATATGCTACAGCTCGTACGGTCCTCTGTGTACGGCCACGTGATTGTACCGACAGTGAGACTAGATGATGTATCAAGTAGATGTGTTAATATCCAGTAGGTATGTTAAGATGATGGTCAACTCAAGTGCTGTCTCATGGAGATTTAACTTGCCCACTACAAACGGCTTAGATGACGTGTAGTACGCAGAATCTTCCAGCCTTCAGGTCATGCTTTGTCATATTGAATTATATTAATGAATTAGATTTATAGGAGCGTGGAAGGACCCACAGAGCCTGAAACATATTCTATTATTTAGAAATACCACCAATAGAAGTATAACAGCTTGGGGGGAGGGGGCGCAAGCGCTTCTCTTTTTTCGGGGGTGGTGAAGGCGGAATAGTACTATAAAATTGTATTGTATTTCTGCTTGTTTTTCTAAACTATGCTATGGTTCGGATCGTACGTATAAATGCGTACCACTAGCGCATACGCTAGCTATACAGCACCCTGCGCCGAACCCTTTCTACTTCATGTTAGGCATAAAAAGTTGGTTTGTTTAATGACAATACCGTTTATTGTTAAAAGCTCTGAAGCTACTCATATTATCAAAGAAGTCAAAGGTTAACCTAATTCTAACTCTCGTTGAAATACCCAGTGTCATCTAGACCAAGAAGAACTTCAAGTTTGGATTTATGTAGATTTTGACCAACAAGATCATCAAGGGATGTTAATGCTTAAATTAAATTAGGGTATCACCGCTTTTTCTTGTAGATTACTTTTACTTCAACCCAAGGTCCATTGCGCCTTAAAGAATATAATGTATGTCGAGTGTATCTACCAAAGCCATCCTCTACATGACTCGGCTCCACACAAACACCTCTCACTCCCCTCCTCTCCATCATGGAATCCATCAACATAGTCAAAGGTAAGTTCGGTCATCGGTCGAATATCCTCAAGCGCGAAGAAAGCCAAGTCATGGAGATTCTTCTCAGAGTAATCCCCAACACGTGCAAAGATTCTCATATTGGGTTCGCAGGAGTGATTGAAAAATCGGCTAGGCCCCGCGTAGAATTCCCCATCAATAACATATGAATCACCACGTAAAGTCTCGTCAAGACTGTCTGGATCGGTGAACTTGTCGAGGTCGAAAAGGTAGAGATCCTTTCTATTACTGATGATTGCATTGTTGCGACGTGTGACAGCCTCCTTGGCTGTGATTATCTCGCCTATATAGCAATCTATGAATGCACCGGCTTTGATCGGGACTTTGCTTCGAACACCTAGGATTGGTTAGATTGCATGGTTCGACATTGAAGGAATTTACATACCCCAACCGCGGGTTTCTGTGCGGAAAACTTGTAACGGTACGCGTCTTCCTCTTGCGACAATTCGATTATCACAATTCTCGTCACAAGCGCAGGCTTCATGGCACTCATAGATAGGTGCACTGCTATTTAAGAGCTGCTCCTTCAAACATCCCTCGCTATTCCCACCTGACTGGTAAGCGTAAACGTTGTGATCTGGAAGGTCGACCTCGGAATCCTGTAGACAGTGACAAGTAATCCCGTGGCACTTGGTCTTGCATTCACAGCCAACTCGAAACTCGGGGTCAGCTCGTGAGACTCCTTCTCGGAGGATGGACTTTTCGATGAAGGTGAAATCGTTAGGGAGAGCCAAGGTTTCATCTTTGCAGACGATCGAGATAGGATATTCGTCGGCATTGGAGAAGCTTCGGATTTGACACCAATGACAGTCCTTTATGGATGGCTAAGACGGATAGGTTAGTTCTTTATTTGTAGAATTTAGGGGCTTTGCAAAAGACAAAAATTGTATTAGTGCCCTTGCTCAAAACCTAATAACTGATGGAGGGAGGGCAATCTTATTGTAGAGGGTCTTTTTGGTTCCGTAAGGACTCTCATCTACTAGATTCGAGGGAGCGGTACACTCAGAGAAATTGTTCGAGACTGTTGGGCCCTAGCTCAAACAACTTCTTGCAGGCTTTTATATTCCCTCAACCCCGGGAAAAAAACATTCAGGCCTCACTGCTAGCCCCGAAAGCAAGAAACAAACTACATATTCAAAAACACCTTACAACGACAGTCATAAAATCAACAAAAAACATGCAGTATACCGAAATCACTCGATCTCAAAGAAACCCATGTACTACCCATTCCTCACTAGTTCCCCCTTTTGTCCATCCTAGCTCTACGAGTACTTCCACCCCCTTCTCCCCGAACCAAAAATCAAATCAAAAGAAACTCACAACGCGGTGCCCAAAATAATGTTCCCGATACGTAGGTGCCATAATGGGTGTTGACAACATGTGAGGCATGTGAGCTGCTTGCTTTCCGGTAGATATGGCGGGGACTGTCTTGTGATATTCCTTGTATTTTCGGTGTTCAATGACTCTTTTTCTCCCCTTTTGATAAGTAATTGATTATTAGAACATCACCAGAAAAAATACGATTGAAATGCTCAAAACCAGATTGTTTAGGTGCTTGTTTTCAGAGCTTGATGACCGGTCAGGGAGTGGTCTAGTGATTATGTAAGACCCATTGTGCATCATGTGATATCGGGATGAATCAGGGAGTGGGGATAGCTTGATGTCCTGTTGTTTTAGCAAGAAAGCGGTCAATAATTTTGTCGGCGGCAGAATTTATTTTTATTTTTGCGAATCGATATCCATCATCATTTGCACGGGGAATTTCTACCGATTCCCTCGATATACACCTACCTATTCAAACATTCACAAACCGAACAATTAAAAATGGCAAACGATATTAGGGATTCCAAGTTGATTAAAGAATTGGCTGCAAATGGTATGCATGCATCAAGCGATTGATTCCCACCCTCTCGATCAATCTACAATCTCCCCTCCATCCTCCCAAACTAAACCCATCTCAACAGACAAAAGAACCCGCGATGCCGCCCTCGAATCCCTACGAACCTACCTCTCATCCAGCCGCGACCTCACCTCCCTGGACTACCTAAAAATTCATTCGGGCCTCTTCTACTGCATGTGGATGTGCGACCGACCACTACCGCAACAATCGCTCGCCAGCTCGCTCGCCTCCCTCTTATCCTCCATCCCCCCGAACAAGCGCGCGCCTTTCTACACCGGGTTTTGGGAAATCATGCGCAAGGAATGGGAACGCATCGATGTGCTACGGATGGAGAAATTTTTGCTCCTGGTTCGTCGGTATTTGGCCGCTGGCTTTGAGGTTTACATCTCTTCGACTACTGCATCTGAAGCAGCGGGGAAGAAAAAGGCGTCTACGAAGAAAAGCGCAAAAGTCGAAACCTCGACAGTGGGTGAAGATGTGTTAGCTGTTCTGTCCGAAATTCCCTGTGGGACGGGTCCCGATGCGATGCGCACACCCAATGGAATGCGATTCCACGTTGTAGATATTTGGGTTGACGAGCTGGAGAAACTAGAGGTTATTGATGCAGCGAAGGAGAGCGAGGAGGGAGCTAAAAGATTAGAGAGGTTGTTGGAGCCATTGAGGAAATTGGGGAAAGAGAGTTTGAATAAGGTAGTGAGGAATAAGGTTAAGGAGGCGCTGAGCGATGAGAGATTACCTGGGAACGAGAAGGAGGGGAGTGCGGAGAGTGCGGAAGAGGATGCTTAGGGGAGGCCATGGGCAGGATGATTTTTGATTTCTTTTCTTTCTTCAACTCGGATACAATCATATATATCCGTGCGCTGGACCGCTAATGTGGAAAGAGGAAAGAGAGGGGGGTACCTACAGACTGAGGCTACAGTACATACAAAGTACATGATACTTTCAGCAAATTGATCGAAAAATTCTTTCTTATGTTTTGAGGGTTTTTTTGAAATTAATTTCTATGTATATACTGCACACAATAAGTAATATTTATCAAGACTAATTAAATTGGTAGTTGAATTTGATCAAGTTCATACAAAATAGATATCATTCCTTGGATGTGATATTGAACTTTTCTTCGGGCGGGTTTCCCGATTTTTTTATTATTGGGCGGGCAGCGGACGGGCGGGCCGGCTGGCTGGTGGGGTGGAATAGTAGGTAGGGTAGGTACTAGGTGGGGTGAAGACTAATAGCGCACATCACATGTGATGTACCCCTCCCCTCGCTTACCCTCAAAACTCTTCGCAGATTTTTTTTCATCCCCCTCCACTCTCTAGCCAGGTACCTAAGTACCTAAGTATAACAAACCCCAACTCTATATATTTTCAAATGAACAATAGTATTACAACAAACAAACAAATAAAGAGCCTGCCCGGCTAGCTCAATCGGTAGAGCGTGTGACTCTTACTTCATCGCAAGATGTTCCAGTTCCAATCACAAGGTTGGGGGTTCGACCCCCCCGTTGGGCTCAATCCCCTTCATATATATTTTTTTGCTTTTTATTTTTATTTTTCTTTGCTGTGTGTGACTCCTGGATTCATTTCATTTCATTGAACGAACGGAAGACGCGTGATTCTCTCTTGGTATTTTTTTCGTGTATATTTTTATATATATAAAAAGCGAGCTTTATTTTGGTGGGGGGAGGGAGGGACATGGAGAGAGATCATAAATGAGATGAGATGAGAAAGATAGTTAGGGATCACCTTGTTAAGGAAGTGGAGAAAGGGTAGAAGAGTCTTTTTTTGCTTTGTTGGTGGAGTACATACATACATACATAGAGTATTAGAGGAACCCTTGGATGGGGGGTCCAATATCTATCTAGACGAGCGTCCCATCAATCCCTCTCTATCCTCCGCTCTGTCCTGGACTGGAGTGGGTTGTGGGTAGGGTGGAGCTACGCTATACTCCATACATACATACTACCTACCGGTGGTATTTCGCATGGTCTAGGTAGGTAGGTAGGTATTGCTCTGGACTCTCGAATAGAGAATCCGTAGTGGCTTTTATTAGAAGAATATCAAAATGATCAGGTTATTATCTAATGATTGCAGGTGCTGGATGAGATAGGGTAGGGTGGATATTATCTTCATTTAGGTAGGTACAGAAATCTACTACTCTATTAAGTTTCAACCGCAAGGCTCTCCTCTCTCATTCCTTATTCATCCACAGGAGTTCCGAGGTATATACCGATTTTCCCTCTCCAATTTCCTTGCAACCATTAATACTCCACTCATCCATCGCCCATTAAGTATCCTGATTCAAGACCCATTCCTCATTTCCATCCCATGTTAAAAACAACAAATCTCTACACCTCTCATCTCGAGAAAAATCCATAACGCAATGAATGGTTCTCAGTCATAAAACCATATCATACTCATGCCGCTCAAACTCCACGCCTACCAGCAATGCCATTATCCCAAGCAATCGCTAAAAAGAAGAAATAATCGCAGAACAATTCAAAGTTGTCCAACAAGAAAACACCACAGAGTATCATTAAATTGAGTTTTTGTGCTTGTATTTGTGACAGTATTTCCAAATCAAGCCGTCGGATCACTTTCCGGCAACTGTTCCTCATTTAAACGAGGTAATCCTTCCACGGGTATTTCTACATCTTTCACGGGATGTAATAGCATAGGTGGTAAGCACATTCGGCCTTCTCCACCTTTCATATCATTGACATGTTGCCCATTTCTGCCCTCATTAATAGTCGTTTCGAATTCTTCACCTCCTTCATTGTCAACCTTGAAGCCGAGCCATCTTCGCCATAGGTTGGGTGAGAATCCAGTGTTGTAGAACCATGTCATTCCGCGCAGGTTGTGTTCTCGGTCACCGAATACAGATGTTCGTGCTCCACCAGTGGCACCGTTTCTCCCGCCATTCATGATACTTGCGAGATACTCTGTTGGCCATTCACGATCAACGAACATTGGGTGAGGGACAGAGACTGCCTTGTAACCATGATGTAGTGCAGTCGTTGGGGCCCACATTTCCGTAAAGGCATGATGCTTCATAAATGTAGTTTCACGATGCATGGTATTGAGTAGTTTGCGGGACATTCTCGATGCCGCAATGATGGTCGCCCGGCGAGGTGGTAAACCCCCAGTAAGATTATAGCCAGTGACGTCTTCTGCGAGAAGCCAGGTAGTTCCATCCGGATCAAAAAGTGGATTAAACACAATAAGATCAGCATCCTCACCCACACCCCAAGTGTACTTGTCCTTGTCGTAGCTAGTGGGAGGAACGGGATCGTTCTCCGTTTCAAACCAATCATCTGAATTTGACGGACGTTCGGGTCCCCAGATTGGTTTCTCGCCTTTGCGGACTGGCCCGCCCTTCTGCCCATTTATGCCCGACCAAAGGTTGTTTGGATTTTCGGTTCCAATCTCGGTTTGTACACGAACCATTTGCTTAAAATCTTCCCACGTACCATGTACCTCTGGAACATAGAATCTGCTATTTCGCTCCCAGAGTCCTTTTCGGGGCTGTTCTTTTGTCCAAGAATTAACTTTCGATAGGAAATGATACCAATGTCCAGTATATCGGATATCAATCTCCCATTCCCAGAAAAAGTCGTACTCTTGATGGTTGTGAGCAAACCATTGCATTGCCATCTGAAGCCCCCGATAAGATCCATGGACCGGTAGACCACGAATGAAGGTATCGAACAGGCCTTGGTAGAGCATAAGCATTTGAGTTTCACTCCAAAATGTCGCGATTCCAACAAATTCTTCGGGCAGGCAATCTTTCAGATGCTTTTGATATGTTTCTTCGTCAGCGAAGACAGGATGCACAGCAGAGTCCTTGACCTGAACCAAGAGATGGACATCGTATTGGCCGCCTGAACCAATAGAAACCTCAGATATTAATGCTCTCAGCGCCATGATGTCCTCCTCACGCCACACATATTCGTCCCAGAGTCGAATGACGAATGCAGTTCGTGGAAGGTATTTTTTGGGTGGTGCTGCAACTACCTTGGAGGTGATATTGGGAACGGTTTCGACCAGCTCATCCCTTGTTAGCAGGCGGCTATCTTTCTGCTCGGTAACAGTCGAAAATGTAGTCGGTTTTTTGGTGACAGGTTCGATTGGTCGGAAGCGTGCAGCATTGCTTTGGTGGCATCTCCTCTGGGCATCGGCCCAATCAACCTTTCTGTAGTCAACCTGGCCAGAATGCATCTTCTCTGCGTTTGAGTTATCGGCCCAGACAGCATCAGAACCTTCCATCTCTCCATGTTGGCCTGTCCCAGTTCCGCCATATCTCAACCCATATCCATAACCGTAAGGTCCTAATCTACCATATCGCTCGAAACAAATATCTTCTGGTAGGCCGAGAACTTCGTAAGACCCCATAATATGATCTGGGAATCCGCTTGGTCTGCCTTCGTAATATTGTAATCGTGGTGCACGAACAACATTCTCGTGATCGAGGAAACATTCTTGAACGGGCGCATAATCATCATTGAAGACACCGCTTGTCATGTTAGTGTATGCCTGAAAGGGTTTACTAGCCGGTAGACTGCGCGCAGGTGTAGCTGTCTCCTCAATTGAGGTCTCATTTTTCAGAGGCAACTCATCCTCCACTCGAGGATACTCTGGGTTGTTCTGGGAAAGGGGGACCAAGGTCCTTATTCCGCCGTAATATCGCGATAAGAATGGGAACGATTCCCAAAGCGGAGGAGGTGGTGGTATTGATGCCTGACCTTCTTGAACTCTTTGTGTCGAGACATGGCTCATACGCACCAAACTCAACATAAATATAACAATGGTCGATATCATGGCTAAACATAGATACCTCATAATCCTAGCAGGTATTCTTCGAGGACCTGGTCGTTGTGAAGTAGCTGTATTTGCTCTTTTCCGCAGTATCGGAGCGTTGGAATGATATGAATTCGAAGTATCTCTTGAAGAGGAGGGCGATGATGGATAGGAAGAATAGTCCGTATCTTCATCATCCGAATCCTCATGCTGACCATACTTCTCACTATCATGGTCTCGAGAAGGTTCTTCTTGGGCAGGTAAGCCTGAATATTGGGTATGTCGTTTGGTAGCCTTGAGAGAATTAAAGCCCGCCATTATGGCTCTGGCCAATATGTACAATTGAAAAAAATCGATGTGATGTGTCTAATTCGAACTTAACTCGTTATCGCGAGAGCAAATTTCGTGTCTGTCGAGTAGGTGGTATAATTGATTAGTGACATTTAAGCTTGGTGATAGTACCTATTCACTCACAAATTGAAGATCGGCTCATGCGGCGATTGTGGTGGTGGCTGGAGGTTGAAATATGTTTTTGCGGGAATTGAAGAAAATAGAAGAGAAGAGAGAAGAGAGAAGGTGATATTTGAGGTTTAGTGACGTTGAGGATCGGATTGAAGATGTATTATGTATTGTGTACCTATTGTGTGTAGTGTGTATAGGTATTGTGTATTATGAGAAAGTTGCGCACTGCAGTAGCATCAAAGGAACCAAGCTCGAGTCCCGGCTACGTACTGTTCTGACTGTACAGTATTGAGTATCAATTGATAATGATAAGACGAGAGAATGAAAAGCTCGTTGCTAACGGCAACTGTTTTTCAACCAATCATTTCATTCAATTACATCATAAATCCTTGGATCCTCAGCCTTGCCTTATTACCTAGCTTATTAATAAGCGAGTGGGTTACGGATCCATTCTGATAAGTCCCGTCCGTCTCAGTCAAAAATAATCCTATCTTCACTTCACTCCAAACAATTCACAATTCACTCACTAGGTAGGTATTTAAGGAGTGGAGTTAATGAGTGTGATAGTTATCTGACATCTGACCTGAATAAAGGCCTTCCAGCATACCTTGTACAATGTCTATTTCTCAAAGCATTTCTGATTCGATCCCCTATCTCTTACTGTTTATCCCTCACTCATACGCTACACAATACTACGCCTCTTCAATTGAGCCTAAGTTCCCACAACATCCAACAGTTGTACAGAAAAGTCCCTTGTGTTCCACATGATTCTCTCAGTAAACGACTACCTACCTAGCTAGAGTTGTACATTTCTATTATGTCGGACCTTGTTCTCTACTTATTATCCAGCAGTGAATGAAATAGTCGATCTCAAAACCTGAATATCGGGCTGGAACTTCCAAGTTTCGATTCTCGAGGATTCACTCTAGCGAGGGTTGATATTTGGATTCGTATATTCACTATGCTTGCCGTAGAAACGCGACGATTACCTATTTTTAGTTTATGATTCATTCCTCGAAAATGTATGGAGTATAGCGATTTTTATAACAGATTGTAATGATAATCCGTATATGCAAGGCGATAAACAGCCTATACTGTATATCTTGGATATAGGCTTAAGCGAGGCCTTGAAGTTTAACCTTTAAAACCTAAAAGCCTTGAAACTTTAACCATTGAAACTTAAAGCTTTGAAGCTCTAGGGCTTTAAGTTTGAAACCAAAAGTACCTAAGTATACTTTGATACCTCTTGCCTT